GGGCTGAGAGAGCTCTGAGAGAACTGCTCTTGAGAGAAGAGCTCTGAGAGAACTGTGGCTGACCCAAGGTCACCCAGCTGCCTGCATGTGGAAGAGTGGGGAATCAAACCCGGTTCTCTAGATTTGACTCCACCGTTCTTAACCACTACACCAAACTGGCTCTGCATTTGATTGTGGAAACTCATTATGGATGTTGAAATTCCACAATACCATCAGCCTGGGAATCTCTGACATGAATGCTGGGAGCAACTGAGCTCAGGTATTGACAGGGTTAGGCAGCAGGTCAGATGGTATACTAACACAGGGTTGCCAGTTGCCTACCTGTGGTGGGCAAGCACCCATCCCCACTCTCCATTGCCTTAACTAGCTCAACTAAGCAGTAGGAGAAAAATGGAAGGGACAATGCTGCAGACACTGTGATGTCACTTCCAGTGACCATTCTGTAGAAATTTCCCCAAATCTCACTGGTATTTACCAAAGAGATTGACGGAATACTGGAGGGGGGCCCTGTGACCTCACTTCTGGGTGTTCACTTGGAAATGACCTCATTGTGTCAGTGATTCTTCCCCTCCCCAAGCTCCACCCCCCAAAGCTCTCACAGTTTGCCAGAAACCCTACACCCACAGGGTTCCTAACCTGTCTCATGACACCAGATACAAACCCTCAAAGGGTGGGGACTGTTGAACAGAGGAGCAGGGTTATGGCAAACGAAGGCCACTCTGCCACCCCCCACCCCCAGCTTCTGGGTTTAGCCTGCTGTAGAAGTACCAGATTCTGTATTTCATCAGAAGCCACTTTGAAAGTCAAGAACCCAAGAAGCAGGACAGAAGTAACTAAATACCCTGCCTCCTCCGAGACGGGGAATCAAGGGAGCCAGGTACATATGTGAGCCATCTCTTGGAGCGTCCCTCCTTTCTGTGCAGCAAGTTTGCACGACATTACTGTCAGCCAGGCCTAATCGAATTGATGCAAGCCTTTAATTCCATTAGCTGTGGCGAGGGCAGAGGGATTAGGAGACGAGCTTCTGAATTGCTCTTGATGGAAAGCACTTGGAAATGTCTTTCCAGCTGCCTCTTGGGGGACATTCTCATGGGCCGCACAAATGCTGCACTATCTGCAGGGATAGTACTGCCAATTCTGCCCCCCCCCCAAACCCCAGTCCCAGTTCCATTTGTGGCCTTTTAATCGGAATTGGTTTCCCGTAAATCACCCTCTCCTGGTGCTCCCAGGAGCCAGCTAGAGCCCTCTGCTAAAGCATCTGCTTCATGTATGTGAGGCTACAAGACCAGTGCACCTGTGCCCACCGCTGCATACTTTTATGGGGGGATTATACGCCCCTTGCTCCACCTATCCCATTCCTTGTGTTCCCGTATCTCCTTGATGTGTTCCCTTCCTTTCAGAACCATGGGCTGTTCTAGGGGGCAGGTAACTTAAAAAGGAAATGTCTAAATGGCCCGCACAGAGAAAAAGCAGTAATCCTGCACAGCCACACACCCATCGCTTTGCAGGGCTCTGCAAAAGAATCGGCCGAGGAGAACCTGGAGATGTCTCTGTGGGATCATGAAGGAGCTGGACTTCAAGGCTGGTTCCAGAATGGGGCTAGTACCAGGGGTCAGCCTGGTTGGGGCCCTGCCACATCTTCTGTTTCCCAGAGCCTGGAGGCAGTGGAGGATGCAGAGTGCAAGAGTATCTCACTCTTCTTCTTCCTCCAAGCACTTCTCTCAAATGGCCCAGGGTAACTGGACCCTTCTTCTCCTGCGGTGTTGGGAAGAAAAGCCAGGAGTGAGGGTGTGTTAGGAGCTGCACCACCTGGAAAGGAAAAGCCTCCAGGAGCAGGCAGTGGACTCACCTGAGATCTCCAAGCCACAGTAGTACATAAGAACATAAGAGACACCAATGTTGGATCAGGCCAAAGGCCCATCCAGTCCAACACTCTGTGTCACACAGTGGCCAGAAATACCAGTGCCATCAGGAGGTCCACCAGTGGGGCCAGGACATTAGAAGCCCTCCCACTGTTGAACCCCCCAAGCACCAAGATGACAGCGCATCACTTGCCCCAGAGTCCCTATCTATACCTTGTGGCTAATAGCCACTGATGGACCTCTGCTCCATATGCTTATCTAATTCCCTTTTGAAGCCGTCCATGCTTGTAGCCGCCACCACTTCCTGTGGCAGTGAATTCCAAGTGTTAATCACTCTTTGGGTGAAGAAGTACTTCCTTTTATCCGTTCTAACCCGACCGCTCAGCAATTTCATGGAGTGCCCACGGGTTCTTGTATTGTGAGAAAGGGAGAAAAGTACCTCTTTCTCTACCTGCTCTTTCCCATGCATAATCTTATAAACCTCAATCATGTCTCCCCTCAGTCGCCGTTTCTCCAAGCTAAAAAGCCCTAAGCGCTTTAACCTTTCCGCATAGGGAAAGTGTTCCAACCCTTTTATCATTCTAGTTGCCCTTTTCTACACTTTTTCCAAAGCTATAATATCCTTTTTAAGGTGTGGTGACCAGAACTGCACACAGTATTCCAAATGAGGTCGCACCATTGATTTATATAGGGGCATTATGATATTGGCTGATCTGTTTTCAATACCCTTCCTAATAATCCCCAGCATAGCATTGGCGTTCTTTATTGCAGTCACACACTGTCTCGACATTTTCAGTGAGTTATCTACTACGACTCTAAGATCTCTCTCTTGATCAGTCTCTGCCAGTTCAGACCCCGTCAATGTGTATTTATATTTAGGATTTTTGGCTCCAATGTGCATCACCTTGCACTTGGCCACATTGAACCCCATTTGCCATGTTGACGCCCACTTGCCCATCCTTGACAGATTCCTTTGGAGTGCCTCACAATCCTCCCTGGTTCTCACCACCCTGAACAACTTTGTATCATCCGCAAATTTAGCCACTTCACTGCTTACTCCCAACTCCAAATCATTAATGAACCAGTTAAAAAGCAGTGGACCAAGTACTGATCCCTGTGGTACCCCACTGCTTACCCCCCTCCACTGAGAGAACTGCCCATTTATACTCACTCTCTGTTTTCTATTAATTAGCCAGTTTTTGATCCATAAAAGGACTAGACTGCCTCTGGGACAACTACACAAGGTTCTGGGAATTCCACGAATGGAACGTCTAGCAGTTATTTTTCCTCTAAAAAAATCAGGTGCCTGAGGAGCCAGATTCTGATCAGAACTGCAGTATCATGAGGGCAAATGGTTGCTGTTTACCCCTTTGGAGTAAATGTGCAGCTGCTGACAGGCCAAAAAGCGGTTCCTTCAAGCTGTTTCAGCTTGGGAAAATTGCGTGGGGGAGAAAGGTTTGTGTCTGGTTGGATCCTGGGCCTCTGCCCCTGATATTTAAAGAGTGTATAGAATTCCCCAGTTTGTGTCATTGTGCCCACAGATGACCACTGGCACCAGCTGTTCTGTGCTTGCAGGAGGTTGGAAATGTGCATGCACACTCCCAAGAGAAGGGGCCTTGTTGTGGCTTCAGCTATTTTATTACCCAGAGTCCCTCCCATTGGGCAGTCTTCCCTGAAAACTTTCAAAGTCCTCTGTCATATTGCAAGTCGTGGGTGTGCAGGCAGAGATCCCAGTGGGAAGAAAATGGGTACTATTGAGGCAAAGAATGCAGCTGGGCCACCATTGAAGCTGCTGAGGACAAGCCAGGATGGGAGTCCTCAGACCAAGATGGGAGTCCAGGCAGCTAGAATACCCGTCAGAAACAGCAGATCCAGTTGAAACAGAGACAAGCCGAAGGAGTGATGAAGCATGCATGCGCAGCATACAGATTGTACAATTATCGTACCATTCAACTGCCTCCTCCTCCTCGCGGCAGGCTTTGTTTTAACAGCCTCTGTTGCAATGAGGGCAACCTTTGTAAGTGAATGACAAATCTCTACCATTCAGCGTCAGGTCCGTTTCCTGGGCAATGGAGCCCCAAGAGGCATCTTTGCTAAAACCAGGCACCAGCCTCCTGCCTAGTCCTCGTATGTGATGTAATGGAAAAACAATCTGTCTGAATGTGTCTGTCTGAATGTTGTTTTATAGCCTTCCTCATCCCAAAGGCTCAGGGCAGGTTACAAAAGCACTGCCATCCCACCCACAAATGAAGTGACATTTTGCTTGCTTTGTTTAACCATGCCCACTGTCTCCTGACTTAACCCTGAGCCCCCAATGCCATGCCAAATCAGGTAGACCTATCATCCCGGAAGCTTTGGACTTTGGCAAGTCTCTGGTGGGTAAGAGCTCCATAAACTGGGAAGTAGACATTGAGAGATGCTTTCTTTCTCATACTTCCTCTCTGAACCTGATGCATGTAGGGTATCATTAAGGACTAAATCACACATTACTCTGGGCATCCGTAGAAGGATTCTCAGATATGTATCTGAGCTGCAAAATACAGCCACAGTGTGTGTAGAGATGATATGGATCAAGGCCATACTGCTATGAAAAGGGTTAACTCCCCCCCACCCATGTGATGTTTTCTGTTAAGAGGGGGAGCTCCCAGTTGCTTTAATCCTGGGTAAGAGAAAAAAGACAGACACATGTTGTCTGTCTTTTTCCTTCATGAAGCTTAAAGGACCTGTTGGGGCAGGTGGGCAGGAAAACATTTCCTGTTGGGAAAACAACATGGAGGGGGTGAATTTACCCACCTTTCCCAGTGCTGTTGCCAGATCCATATTGTCATCTTGCTTTCCCCTCCCCCGGTATGCTCTTTGCAAATAAAATGCACATCTGAGAATCTGAGTCACATGTGATTTGGCCCGGAGAAAGGGGCCCTTTGTAGATATTAGAGGCTGTAAAGGATCCTTAGGCTGGAGACAGTTTGGCTCTCAGGTATGCTGGGTGGAAGCCAGTGAGGGCTGCATAGGACTCTGTCAGCTGCTGCAGTTGTAGTTGCCCAGCATGTGAACCTGGGAGACACTTGTGCTTTGGCTCCTTCCATTTAGGTGTTAAGCAGAGTTTTGGCTAACCTCATCCTCCCTCCTGTATGCTAGAAACTGGAGTGCCTGCTGAGCTTGGAGGCTCACTCCCATGAGCAGAAGAAGAGAGTCTGCTGGTGCTTGGCTGATAACATCGCAAAGCAGCAGATGACCACCCCGACAGCCCCCCCTGCAGAGAATAAGGTAAGGAAGCCAGCAGTTGATTTTTGATCAGGGTGCAAAGTACATTGATCAGCTCAAGGGCTGGTCCACTGGACAGCGAAGGCAGATTCCGATGGTGGAGGCTGCAAGTTGAGAACTCCCTTGTTTATTTTTCAAGGCTATTTTGATCCTGATTTGTTATTGTAATGTGGAGGGGGGAGATGGGATAACAATGGCTGTTCAGACCTCCCTCTCTGCCCCGGATATATTGCTTGCTTGCTAATGGAGATCAGTGGATGTTTCTACTTGGGGTGCTGAGGAAGGGGCTCCTTCAATGGCTTTTGATGACAGGCAGCTACTACCAGCCAGGATACGAACATCAGCCAGGATGAGAGGCTAAGTCCCGCTGTACACTGCACTGGTCAGGCTGCACCTGAAGTATTGTGAGCAGTTCTGGAGGCCTCACTTCAAAAAGGATGTGGACAGAATGGAGTGGGTGCAGAAAAGAGCGACAAGGATGATCGGGGAACCCTATGGGGAAAGGCTGGGGGACTTGGGAATGTTTAGTCTGGAGAAAAGGAGGTTGAGGGGGGACATGATTGCTCTCTTGAAGCATTTGAAGGGCTGTCACTTAGAGGAGGGCAGGGAGCTGTTCCTGTTGGCAGCAGAGGAGAGGACTCACAATAATGGGTTTAAATTAAGGGTGGGAAGGTACCAGCTGGATCTTAGGAAAAACTTTTCACAGTAAGAGTTGCTCAACAGTGGAATCAGCTGCCTAGGGAATTGGTGAGCTCCCCCTCACTGGCAGTCTTTAGGCAGCAGCTGGACAAATACACTTCTCAGGGATGCTCTAGGCCGATCCTGCATTGAGCTGGGGGTTGGACTAGATGGCCTGTATGGCCCCTTCCAGCTCTGTGATTCTATGATTCTGTGTGGTGTGGCAGAGACAAAAGACTGCTGGGAGAATTCCCTGTGGCCGGCAAGGAGGAAGCAGACCTGAGTTGTGCAGTTGTCTGGAAAAAGGTGCTGACACACACACACACACACACACACACACACACACACACTGGATGCTGCTTGCTTTGGGAGGAACTAAAGCTGCTCTGTGGACTAGGTCTGTCTATCTGTCTGCTCAGAGTGTATTTTTACAAACAAATGAACCAGAGAAGGCACTGTAAGGCTCCAGTGCTCTCTCATTCAGAAGGAAACAGCATCCTGCCTGCCTACCCTATAGCTCCTCACAGCTTGAGGACGTGGAGAATCCAGAACAATATGAAGGTTGGCTTCTCTTTCTAGCATGAAGGGCTGTTTGGGGCTTTAAGAAAGTTGGTAATTGACATATTGCTATAGCATTAGGCTACAATGTTTTGTCAATTACTGATGTTATACTATAGCATACTTACATCCCCAAATGTAACTGGCATATAGCTTAAAACCCATAACTGACATATAAGCTCCAGTGATGTGTCAATTACTGGTATATATTTTTAAAAGACCTAAAAAGCCCTCTGGTTGGCAGGGAAGAGATGGTGGCTACGGGGTGGAGGGCTGGCTTGAGCAAAATGCAAGGGCTCACCCACGAGATTTCTGCACCCGTTTAGGGTGCAAGAGCCCTGTGGGGAAAGAGGTGGCATCCCCAGTCCTTTCCCTTCTTTTTATGTGGTCAGTTTCCCGGGAGCAGCCTTAGGAACATTCGCACCTGACTGGCTGCACCATGGAGTCTTGTTTCTCCAACTCAGAAGGAGGTGATGCACACCGGAACCCCTCCGGCCCAGGCCAATGTGAGGATTTTCTTTCCTGAAGGCAGGCCTGTTTTGAAAGCTGCGCTTTTGTTCCTGGCCAGCCCTGGGAAGGGTGGGAGCCGGCTGTGCCTGCCTCTGTCCAGCCAGGATCAATTCAGCATCTGGAGTTATGAGGGTAATTTGAATTGGCTGCTTTCTGGCAAAGGTCCTAACTGGCGCTTAATCCAATGATGATGTGATTTAGTGAGGACAATAAAATCTTGTGTGAGTGTCGCTCTCCCAGCCAAGGATAGTTGCTCACTGCAGAGAGGAGAAGCGGAGCCGGCAGGCATCCATCCGTCCATCCTGGCTTTCCTCCTGTGGCCTGCAGTCCCTTTCCGGAGCTCCCCTCCCGACACCCTGCTAAGTAGATGCCTGGCACCAGGTCGGCAGCAGCCTCGCCCACCTCGCTGCCCGTCTCTCTAGGGCTGGGTCCTTTCATATGATGTGGTGCCAAGCGGTAGCTTTGGAGATCGCAGACTCGTCGTGAAGGCTGGGAGTTGGCATCTCCTGTGCCTACTCTCCTGCCCTCTTGCCACCAGCTCCAGGATTTTGTTAGGTGCTATGGTATGTATGCTGGCTTTTACCAGTTCAGATCAAGAAATGGGAGTGGGATTGCTTGCTATATAGTGTCTTTATCTGGGTGGATTTGCGAACAAACATGTGAGATCACTTAAGAAGGCTTTGTTTGCCTTCAGCACCCTTTAGCCTATGTTTGCTTGGTTTTAAAACTGTCCTGTTGTAATGTTCCTGTGACTTCTTGATGCTAATAACCATTCATGTGTGACTGTGAGCATTTTGGGAGCACAGGTGATTAAAGTGTTATCAGACACCCAGCAAAACTCACAGCTGGGATAGCTAAAGGGACAGGCATTGCCTCTTAATCCAAGCGAGGGCACCATTTCAACTTATGAGGGATACCGGGTCTTCCTTACTGGCTTTAAGTGGAGAACCAGAGTGTGGTATTTATTCCAGATTAACTAATGCTAAATTCAAGGGGGTGTTGGTCTTGTGTTATGAGAGAATCGGGGTTTTCTATTGCATTGAGCTATAAGGTCTGTCAGTGATTTTTATTTGGTAGGATTTCTTGCAAAGTACGGTACAACTCGCAAAAGAAGATGGGGGATGGCCAGCTTTTTTTTTTTTTTACTGCTTTCCCTGGTTGTGCTTCTCTGCCATTGTAGCTGCCTGACTGATAGAAATTAAGCAGGTTGCAGGGCTTTTCCCATCGTTTCATCTCAGCTTGATTTCTGCTAATGGCACAAGAGCAGCGCTGGTTATTTTTTCTTTTAAAGTGGCACCTGGGTATCAGGAGTGGTGAGGTGGGTGGAGCGGTAGATCAGGTGGTGAGGCTGGTGATTAATGGGAGGAGACGCACTTGATGGTGCTGGGGGAGTAAGAAGGGGGGCAAGGGCGCAGATACAGTGTTCCCCTTAAGCTGAGTCAGTGTGAGCTCACTCACAGTGTTTTAGCTTCCGGCTCACACATTTTTGTCCTAGCTCAGGAAGGATGGCTCCAGAGCAAACTAATTTATGCAGTAGCCAAAACGCTTGCTCACAACTTGAATGCCAGTAGCTCACAAAGTAGAATTTTTGCTCACAAGACTCCACAGCTTAGAGGGAGCTTTGGCATAGAACCCTTCCTTGCAGCTGTTGTACAGACAGGGGCCACGCTGCATTCCCCCACCGCCCCGCCTCGCCTTAACTGAGTATCAACTAAGCAAAGCTATTCTTGCCCAAACCTGGGTTCAAAGGACTTTCTGGCAATTGTACATGCTTATTGTGGGTATCTTGCTTAGGGTGATGGTAGCAGGACGGTACAGAAAAATCTAAGGAGCGGGAGTGAATAATGCTCACAGGCTGCACTCCGAGCGCCAAGCTATTAGGAGGGCTCTTGAAAAGCAGAGAGCTTTGTGGATTGCTTCCTTGTGGGGACAATTCTCTGTTTTGCTGTTATGGCCACTGTGCTTCAAAGGCGCCACACGACAGTTTTCTCCATGCTGGAGAAAGGCTGGAAGTGGTTGCTAGATATGGGTGGGGTGGTGCAGATATCTACACCTTCCTGGCCACATGGATCCAAAAGCCACTGAAATACAGTCTTCCTGGAAAGAAGGGTGCTTCCACATGGAAGGGTTTGTCCTTGGTGGTCTTGTCAGTATATTTTCAAGTTAAAAAAACAACAACACTGGGAAGTGTGGGATTCGTGCATGAGTAGAGGCTGAGGCTGAGTGGATACTAACATATACCCTGACACCCTCAAATTGCTCCGTTGGTAGAACCCCCCATGTGGAATCACTCTGGGTTTTGGATACCATGCGAGTATTGGCTTTGTGCATACTTGTTGGTGCAGGAAAGCACTCTACACATGGTTGGAAGCACTCTCTCTTCTTTTAGGATTACTTTATGTGTTTGCGGGCTGAACCCTGGCATGGTAAATAAGTTCAGGTTGGTGGTTAGTTGGTTGCAGAATCTGATCGCATCTACATCACATCTTTCCCTGCAAATGCTTAGGATGACATGTGAACTAGTATTGCACTAAGTTTCCTCCAAGCCTGGAACCCATTCTTCAGTGAGCCCTAGAGTTTATCTGGAGTAACAAAAGCCAAGAGAGCCTCTGAGCATATGCAGACTATATTGTCCTCAGCAATGAATAACCACAGCCTGTCCTTAAATGGCTAGAATGGTATGGAGCAGGATTTTCAGGTCAGCAGATACAGGTTCCACACAGGCTTGGATGTTGATGCTATCTGTCACAGCTTTCCAAGCAGTCAGCCCAAGTTTTAGCTAGCTGTGCCACCTTTTCGTGGCACATTAGTGGTATGGAGTTTTTGTGGCGGGGGAAGCCAGTTGCCATCCTACTGACCTAGAGGTCATTCTTGTTTATCATAAAGGACTGTGCTATTGACTTCTGCACTGCCAGGCTGTTACCTCTCTTCAACCCAGTGTTAACAATAACTCCACTGGATCAGACCAAAAGTCCATCTGTTCCAGCATCCAGTTTCCCACAGTGGCCAGCTAGATGTCCAGGAAGGCCCCACAAACGGGAGCAAGGAAGTCAAAAGCCTTCTTTTCCTGTTGCCCTCTAACAACTGGGTATTCAGAGTTATCTGTGTTTTATTGTATTTATTCTGCTGTATTTTAAATGTTGTAAGCCGCCTTGAGCCTGCCCATGCGGGGAGGGCGGAATATAAATCGAAAATATAAATAAATACCATTTCTGAACACGAAGATTCCATTTAGTTGTTGTGGCTCACAGCCGTGA